ATTCCGCCACCATTTTTTTTTATTGTTTTGTTGCTTAAAATATTACAAAGGGTATTACACATGTGTCCTTTTTTTTTTCTTCCGCCCTTGACAATTCCCTGGCCTCCCCTACCCCCCAGTGTCTTATGTCCATTGATTATGCTTATATGCATGCATACAAGTGCTTCGGTTGATTTCTTACCCTCCTCCCTCCTGCCCCCCAACCCTCCCTCTCTCCCATCTTGACCCCCCCACTCCGCCTCCCTCTCTCCCATCTTGACCCCCCCCACTCCGCCTCCCTCTCTCCCACCTTGACCCTCCCCGTCTCTTGGTCTGCAGGTTCCAGCAGAGACACTGAATGTGGCGCCTGCCTGCCTGACTTCTATGAACATGGCAACAGCTGTGTGTCCTGCCCCACGTAACTTCCTGGCTGCCCTGGGCCGGGGAGGGGAGCGGGGAGCAGAGCGGGGCCAGGGGCAGGGAGTAGGGGCCTTGGCCCTGTGGTGGGTGGGCCCCCTCTAGGCAGACATGTAAAGGGAGACGTGGATTCACCTGTGCCAGGCGAATACGGGCCCTGCGGTGGTCCTCGCAGCTGTGCGTGAGGAAGAGGATTTGGCGCCTACAGAGAGGGGCATTGGTGGTTTCAAAGCTTGGGCTGAGACTCAGGACCCGCCCCTGGTTCCCTGGAGGCTGTTGGGCAAGCGACTTCACTCCGATGTGTGGTGTCCCCAACTGAACCTGGGGGCGTTAGTGGTCCCCCCAGAGCACCTCCCATCTGCAGACCCCCTTCCAGGTGCTGGGGTACACCAGGGAGCACAACAGGCGGTCCTGGTCCTATGGAGCTGGCCTTCGAGTGGCCCTCAATCAGGCCAGAAGCAGCTCGATAAATCCTGGTGGTTGATATAGTTACGGGGGACACGGGCGTTTCAGCTGCCCTTCGGGAACATTCTTGGGTGGAGCGAGGCTCCCGGGAAGAGGCCTGGAAGGGATGGAGAGGTCAGGCAGCCTGGACAGCCCGCCGGGTGGGTCCTCACTCCCTGCCCCGCCCCCACTCCACAGGAGCACCCTCTGGAGCTGCCCTGAGGCCTGCGCGGCTGCCTGCGGCTGGAGGCAGAGTAGGTGGCATGCTGGGGATCCAGCAGGAGAGCTGGGAAGGGCCGCGGGGAGCCTGGGGGTGGTTACCACCCAACACCCACCAACTGCTCCCTCAGTGTTCTGGGTCCAGGTGCTCCTGGCAGGCCTGGTGGTTCCATTTGTGCTTGGTGCCACCCTAACCTACACATACCGCCGCTGCCAGCCCTGCAAGCCCATGGTTCCTGGTAAGTGCATGCACATTTGCACATACACATGCATACCCACACACGTACATATGCACACACATGTGCATACACACATGTGCATGCCACACATGCATGCATACATGCATGCATACATGCACACACTCCTATGAGCCTGGGGTCAGGACAGGTAGCCAGAGCCCGCTCGGCCTGATGCAGAGGGGAGCTGGGGGAGTGCTGGTGTGTGTGTGTGTGTGTGTGTGTGTGTGTGTGTGTGTGTCTGTAGAGCAATGGTTCTCAACCTGTGGGTCGTGACCCCTTTGGCGGTCGACAGACCCTTTCACG